ACTACTGTGGTAAGACCTAGAAAAGGGGGACGGCGTGACAGACTCAGATCAACATTCCCAGCACAGGGATGAAGGGCGGTGAAAAGGCCAGTGTGGAGTGTTGAGGGTTCTCATGAAAGCCGCTAAAAAGGGCACACTGTACCACATTTAATTAAGCAAGTAAAAAATTGTGACAATGAAGGCGTGATTAGAGGATATAGGAAATGTGACTAGGCCAGGGCAGAAGGGGAGATGCCATAAGTGTTTAGCGCACGTTTGGTCAAAGGATCGGCTTCACTTGTCTCTTTGACGAGTTGTAATATTGTGCTACGACTGGTAAAACATACTGACGATGCCGGCGAAACGTCTGGGAATGTACGACGTCCACGGTCCGACTTTGGAAATAATTATGCATACAGTGGAATCAGGACAAAGTGTGTTCCTATAAGTCCTTCTACCAATATAAACAAGTTGCGAAAACAAGGTCAAACAACTTCTAAATATGACTTTTTTTCTTCCAAAAGGTATTCTTATCTAATTGCACGTACTACTCGGTTTTGATTCTCTCTGAGAGTTCTGATGGGACCTATTCGAGGTAGAAACTGGAGTTCATGCCGGATAGGAATACTTTTAGGACACAAGGCTAAGTTAAATCCAACCTCATCTTAAGTCTTAATAATATAATTGTAGGAAAATGTTTGTAACCTTAAATGCTTTAAGGTTACTAAAGCTTTTGTCTAAGTATCTTAGTCATTTCATGTCATTCTTCTTTCAATCCCTCTTTGTCCTACTTATGCAGGCCTATATCCCTTTACCTGACGCTGATCAGCGCAAGCAAATTCTCTCTTTAGTGCTGTCCGAAGAAAACGTGTTTCTAGACTTTGATGATTCTGAGCTGAAACTTTTCGCCAGCACTCCCACTGAAGGCTTGTCAGGCAGCGATCTAGTCGAAGTGTGTCGCCAAGCTGCTTTGGAGCGTTTAAAAGAAGAACTTAAAGGTCAAACCGGCCTCCAGTGAGTTTCTTGATTTGCCTACCTTATTTTGAATTCCTCTGCATATATTGTTCTTTAACGATGAATTTAAAAAGCAATTTACTCTGGGCACTATTTATTTTTGCTTTTTTCTTTGTGCTTGTGAACAGAACATCCAATCATTTCCCATTGGAGATGTCATTATTCTCAATTTCCGTTAATATGTCGCTTGAAATTCGTTTTTAAGATTGCACTGACGTGCCTTAGCGATCCAACTCTTGGTCTGTGATAGGCTTTCCTGTATTATAGAAGTTGTTTGACCTTGTTTTCGCAACTTGGTCATAATGGTAGGAAGACTTATAGAAACGCACC